TTCCACTGCTCATACTCTACAAACGTATGGCGCATCGTCAAGTCTCTCTCTTTTCTTTCCTTTTTTGGACGATGGGGGGTTTCACTCTGTCACCCAGGTTGAAGTGCAGTGGTACAATCATAGCTCACTGCAGCCTCGAACTCCTGGGATAAAGCAGTGCTCCTGCCTCGGACTCCTGAGGGACATGTCAGCCTCCTTACTTTTGTATCCTTAGCACCTAGTATGTGCCTGGCACAGAGTAGGTGCTCAAAAAGTATTTGTTGACTGAATGAATGGAGTCATCTCAACCCTTTGTCAAATTCAGTACACTTTTTCATGCTGTGTGAGGGTTGTGTGGACAGCAGAAAGGGGAAGTCAGGAAGGAAAGGGTGGTCCGGTCCAGTTCACCCCTAGCCTGGTGCTGTGCCAAGCCAGGGTGCCACATTTTATGGAGAAGACTATATCCAGTAGCATGTGAAACTAGGGACAGCAGCCAGGAGCGGAGGTGAAAGAGCCTTTCCTTCTTCCCACATATACTAGAGAGGGCGACTCTTTAGGAAAAAGAACAAATACAATTTGAGATATCTGTAGCTCTATTTATAACCCTCTGTAACACATACAGATACACATACACACGCAGCGTTATACATACATTTATAATAACTGATAGACAACTGATACTTTCTCTAATATTTTAGCAAAGATGTTTTATTGGTTGACTAAGAAGATTACCAGACCATGTGACAAGGACCAAAAGGTCATTTACTCATACATCTATTCATTCATTCAATAACTATTCATTGAATGAATAGTTATTGTGTTAATGAATATTAATGAATAGGATTGTGGCAGACAATGCCAGGTACCTCGCAATATCTATTTCCCCCTTCTTCCTTACTTGTGAACACTGATTTTGTTCAGATACCAATGAGTCCAATTTAAGAAACCTATTTCTCAGCCTCCCTTGCACCTAGTGGGTATAAACTGGCTCTATGGTTTGGTTCTGTCCAATGAGACCAATGAGAAAGTCAACTAGAAATTTCACAAAGCTTTGCTAAGGTGAAAGATTGCTTGAGCCAAGGAGGTCAAGGCTGCGCTAAGCCATGATCATGCTGCTGCACTCCAGCCTGGCTGACAGGGCAAGACCCTGTCTCAAAAAAAATTTTTAAAATAATAATAATAATAAAAGGCCAGCACTGTGGCTCATGCCTATAATCCCAGCACTTTGGGAGGCTGAGGTGGGTGGATCGCTTGAGCCCAGGAGTTTGAAACCAGCCTAGGAAATACAGTGAGGCCTCATTTCTACAAAAAATATAAAAAAAGAAAAAGTATCAGGCCCAGAGAGGCATTTAAAATGTAGTAGCAGTAGCCGGCCGCGGTGGCTCACGCCTGTAATCCCAGCACTTTGGGAGGCCGAGGCGGGCAGATCACGAGGTCAGGAGATCGAGACCATCCTGGTTAACACGGTGAAAGCCCATCTCTAGTAAAAATACAAAAAAATTAGCCGGGTGTGGTGGTGGGCACCTGTAGTCCCAGCTACTCGGAGGCTGAGGCAGGAAAGTGGCGTGAACCCAGGAGGCGGAGCTTGCAGTGAGCCGAGATGGTGCCACTGCACTCCAGCCTGGGCGACAAAGTGAGACTCTGTCTCAAAAAAGAAACAAAAACAAAAACAAATAAAATGTAGTAGCAGTAATATCTCATTCACCCTTGAGCTAAATAATAACTTCTTGAAGTCACTTGCTACGTATGCAAGAATACCGGCTGAGCATGGTAGCTCATACCTGTAATCCCAACACTCCGGGAGGCCGAGGTGGGCAAATCGCTTGAGCCCAGGAGTTTGAGACCATGCTGGGAAACATGGAGGGTTTACAAGCATGAGCCACTGCACCTAGCAGAATAAAAACATGTTATCTGAGGAGGGTGAGCCCCTTTAAATTATCAGGGCCATTGACTAGCCTGAAAAAAAAAAAAAAAAGGTATCAGGGCCGGGTGCTGTGGCTCCTGCCTGTAATCCCAGCACTTGGGAGTCTCTACAAACAAACCCCGTCTCCACAAAAAATTAGCCAGACGTTGTGGCACATGCCTGTAGTGCCAGCTATTTGGGAGGCTGATGGGGGAGAATTACCTGAGCCTGGGAAGTTGAGGCTGCAGTGAGCCATGATTGCACCACTGCACTGCAGCCTGGGGGACAGCGTGAGACCCTGTCTCAAGAAAAAAAAAAAGTCGAATGAGAATACCTGATGAACAACTTTTGTCATTGTTCCCCTCCCCTGATTTGTCT